ACCCATTTGTGGAGTTGAACTGTCAATAATATGAGAAATGTAATACAAATACAAAATATACCAGCGTCCGCTAAACATCAAGTGCATTTTCGATATACTCAATATGATTAAACATACTCGATGATATAATATTTCTAAATAAACTAAACTTTTTTTTTGACCTATATTGAATATTGAAACTATATTCTTTTAAAGTCTGGGCTACAATTAATATAAATACCTGCGTTTTGTTTGGCCGGCTGGCGGTAAGCCCTCTGTCTGGTTAACAAGGTTGAGTTGTTGTTGATTGTGTGGATGGTTAAAATGGTGATCGTCCTGTTCGCTAAATCCAGGTGATAGTGTTGCGGTCGGTGTCACACAAGGGGCAGCTGCCAAAAAATTAGCAGGCTGAGGGTATATGAAGCTGGAATGCTGTAAGGGACTCCAGTACCCGGCATTCGCGACATGTGCTGGCAAAGGGGTAGTATTTAAATGCTCACCGGTTGTAAAGTAAAAATGCCGCTGTTGGTGATGTATGCCTTGATGTTTCAGCGAATGTTGTTTCATGGTATTCAAATCATCATCCGGATAATTATTGGTGAACGGCACATTTAACATTGATATAACTCCATTACTACGAAACGGCGATTGTTGTTGTGGTGACGTTAATGGTTGCGTCTGGGGTGTGTAATGCTGAGATGTTGAAGAAAATGTTGGATTATATCCAAATTCGGTAGGTTCTGGGCTTTGCAAATGTGGCATGGCAACAATGGATAACGCCGGCGTTGGTCCATTGAAATTTCTTGTAGTTGATGAGGATGTCGAAGATGTTGACGATGAAGACGAGAGCGATACTGACTTTGCTTGTTGATACTTATTTCGACGCTGTGACTGTACCGCAGAATTTGTCGACGAGGAATCCGAGTCGTCATAGTCGCGACTTTTTGCTCCCTGAACAGCGCAGGGTGCTTGATTTGAATCAGAGGATGTGACAGAATCGTTCAATTGTGCATAACAAATCATATTCCCAACTGTATGTGGGGATGTTGAATGCACATGTGAAGAAGGTACACTTAAGGCAAAAGGTGTCGTCAAGCGTTTCCCGCATATAAAATTTTGCTGATGCTGTTGTTGCGATTGAAAGTGATTAGGGGTATATGATAGTACCACAGATGAAATAGCATCTTGGGATTGGCCCCCCGATGTACTAGCTACAGGCGGAGGCAATGAAGGACTACAACTACGCGATGGAACAGTTGGACCGATGCCAACGCTTGCTGTAAGACCCTCAGTATTGACATAGGTCAAATTACGAATATTTTGATGGGTTTGTTGAGTAATCGATGACTGTGAGCCACCTGCAGCCGATGTAAATTGTTGGTTATGGTAATTTACCTGTTGCAATCTGTGATTGCCGCGATGAGTGGACGCGTTCACTTTCCTAGGAAGGGTTTCGATTATTAAATTCATTTGAGTAGAGGACTTCACTTTCTGTTGTCGATAAGAACTGGTTGAAGCCTGAGATGAATTAGAAGATACCGATGACGTTGTAGATGACGAGGATGAACATGAATACGACACATTAGCTCCGCTATTTGATTTTTTAGAGCTCAATATCTTCTGATGAAACTGTTTGGAAGACCATAAATTGTTATTTTCGTTATTTCCCTTGGCATTGTTACTAGCATTAACATTTCCGCCGTCTATTTCTTCTACAACACTATGTTTATGAACAGGAAGCGATTGGACTGAATTCGATGTAACCTCGCCATTACTTTGATGATTCTGATACATATTATTGCGCTTGAGATGTTGCGAGTAAGCATTACCTCCGCTTCGAGTTACACGTGAACCGCCTTCGTTTTCCGCTTCTCTATTATACGAGGGATGCAGTGCAACATACCCATGCTGCATTCCGGATAAACGATGCTGCTGCGATTGTTGATAATGCGACTGGTAATAGTTATGACAACGCTGATGGTTACGATAGGAATGTTGATTTGTATAATCACCATTGTTATTGTTAACATCGACGCCATCACTGTCCTCTGGACCATTGTCAGAGATATCACATCTGTTGCCACCGGCAAGAACATTTTCATTAAAAAGTTCTTTCTGCATGAACGAGGCAATTGTCAATTGCTGCGGATGATGATGATGATGGCTATGCTGGAAACGATGTGTTCGTTGGTCTCTCATATGATTGCTGCTGCTACCAACTCCAATACCTCCTCCACTATTAGACGTATAGCGACCATGCATTGGGTGCGGTCTTTGTGGTAAAATATTTTGGTAAGAGTATGCGGTACGCACCGGTGACATTACACCTGTATTCTGACTGTTGTATGGCGTTATTATGCGATTATTGTGTGTATTATTTTTGCACAGCGCCGATAAATTTGCCCCACCTGTCATTTGTATGCCTACTGAGTGCAAAAAGTCTAATGAATATGAATTGGAGGGCGATGATCCCGGCGTAGATACCGTCGGAGAACCGGATGGCGTCGTCAAAGTAACGGAAGAATTTGTGCTTTCGCCTGACGGTTGCGGTGATGCAATTTGCACTGATAGATTAGCAAATTCGTCTATATTACTTATTTCTTTGGGAGATGATGATGAAGGAGATGTAACGGTAAGTGTTACGACATTACTTGGGGATTTAACTAAACCACTTGTATTTTCTGCAGCAATAGTTGTTTCCACTTTAGAATCGACAATACTTGTTGTTGTTGCTGTGGCAGAAACTGTGTTTGTAGCCAACGCAGTGCTCATCGCTGTAGGGTCTTCAGCGGGGTGTATATTTCTTTGACTTTCAGGAATTAGGGGCACCTTTAATATATATAAGAATTATTTGTATACCTTAATATAGTAATTACAGTAATATAATGATAAAGTCCTTAAATAATCGCCTTTACATACCTTACTTTGCAGATCATCTGTTGTTGTCGATACGTTAGTAGTCCTCCGTTGCCTTTGACCCTTTACACGTGAAGATGAATAACGAGTATCTATGATACCTCTGTTATTATTATTTATATTACCTTTTCGAAATGGCTTTTTCTTCGATGTATGTGAGTTACTTGCGTATGTAACGCTGATGTTTTGTTGCAATTCCGGGTTACTTTCGGCCGAAATTGATAATGCTGATGACACTGACGAAGAGTACGACGATGTTGAACTAATTGAAGAACTTTTACGTCTACTTATGTGTACCCATGGCCATGATAGCAAAGCCGGAGATTCAGTACACTGAGGAGCAACAAGATTAGTCCAACAGCTATTGCAATCAAGGTTAATACTTTTATTTTCACCAACACAATTATGTTTATCGGCGGGTGTTGAGACTGGAAAGCTATCCGTTGAAGGGGCGTGTTGTTTAAACTCTGATTTTGCTCTGTGCGAAGAAAGAGCAATGGAATTGTCAACGGTCGTACCATTGTAATTATCATCAGGAACTTGTGGTATGCATATGTTGTTGACATTTAATGTTGTTGTATTATTATTTACGAAATCTTCCACTTTACTGTTATCAATTTTCGGTATATTTAGTTTTTGCACACATGCAAGATGTGCATCTATTGTGTTCGAAAGATCAGATTCTAACAAATTATGATTCTTAATTGCAATATTATTTCTGATCTCCTTATTGTTATTAACAAAATTGTGCTGATGTTGGTTATGGCGGTGATGTTGCTGATAGTATTTCTTGCGATTTAAAACTGATGTGGTTGGAATGTTGTAGAACATGTGAGATTGTGATTTTTTACCATTTTTGTTGTTTGAATTACATTGTTTTGGTGTTTGCAGCGACTTAGCACTGTCATTGTGGTTATATATGTTAGTTGCATTAAAATACCTCATCTTAGGGGATTCGTTTGTATTGATACCTGGCGTTTGCTGACTAACATTTGCTTTATTTATCGAATTTGGGGAGCTAGTTTTTACCATATTGTTGCTGAGGTGTTGATTTTTCACAGTTGATACATTTGTAAGTGTTATAATTTTCATGTTGCCTGCAACCATTTCAATCGCAACGGAATACTAGATTTAATATGGATCTATTTTATAACAAATAATATTTAACACGCTCCTAAAATGACTGACATTTGTGTATACTGTATATGTACAGTCAAATAGTTTTCTACCTCTAGTAAGAATAACCCACAAGTCTAAGTTTTAAAATTTAAGTTTGGCTCGTGTTTTAATGTTTGGGCTTAAATACCTTAGTTTCAAAATATATTGGCGGATTTTTTTTCGGTCATAGTTTTTGTCACCTGTATAAATGTTCGGAATTTATTCCTTTGTTTATCTGAAAGGAAAAATCATGAAAAAATTGTTAATAAAATTTATAATTTTTCATCATGTACATATTTATATATTTACATATGTATGTATGTATAACGTTGTAATAATGGTGTTTGGATATGCATTGTACACCTGCGATTTATAAGGGATACAACAAGAAAACTTAATATGGGATTTTAAAGTTTAGTACTTGGAAAGTACTATTAGTTAGTTTAATATACAAATTTGAAGAGTAAAGGGATTGCAATTATATGTAACAAGAAATTAATCAGCAATAGATTATAGCTTTATTTTTCATGTTGTTACTTGTAATTAAATGATTACAATCATTATATTATTTAAAGTTGAAATCCATTTATACACGTTTAAATGATACCATAAGAATATATTTTAATGTAAAATAAAAAATAAAATTCATTAAAATTTAAATCAAATACCTCATGAGCCAAACGTAACTGCACTTCCATTAATCGGCCATATTCTAACGGCTCTTAAAAACTGCAATTCACCGATTATTATACATCTACTGAAGTCCCGCTTTTTATTTCGAGACGACTTTCAATATTTACACAATAAGGGAATTTAAACGGTAACTTTCTGAATGTGGTTCTGTTTGTTATACGAAACCTTTGAAACACAGATTATATTTACATCCAAATTCACTACATTTCCTTAAAACCAAATTTCATTGCATTGCACATTATGGTTCTGCACACATCTACATACAGCCGGCTCCACAGTACCGGCAAGAAATTAAGCTTTTTTCTTAACGTCAGGCGGTTTTCAAAATAATGCACTTATGATAACTATTTCTTTTTTTTTTTTGAATTTGCTAATTTTCTTTTAAATATCTTGTCCGCGCTGATGGGAATTGTGCAAATTATACTCTTGCGATTTTCCACTCGATTCCGTTTTCCTTCTTTCCGCGTGTGACTTCTCAAATTGTTGTTGTCAGAGTTTGTTTTATAAATTGCTTCAACCTGCAGGGTTGCTCAGATAGTTCTCATTATATAATCTTTATTACTTCATAAAAAATATTATGTATAGGAGAAAGTTTGAGTGCGTAACGTAAATAATGAAAAAAATAGTTTTTATTAACAATTAATATAAAAGTTTGACAGATAGCAATTGTTTATTCCTGATTCATAAACACTGCGTTCCGATTGTTAAAAAAATTTAATCCATCTCCCATCGTATATATCAATATCAAATAATAGAATATTTAAATATGTATATGGATCATGAGGGAATTATCATCATAGTAATTGAATGCAATGATCTGAGTGGATAATAATAATTTTCTATATGTTGTGATGAGACTATTGGAACGGCTCTTTACTTTAAAAACGAATCTAAATAAAAAGTACGTACGGCAACATTTTTAATTTGCATCAGCTGTTCTTTCATAACCTGTTCAATAGGCAATCTGGTTGTGAAAAATTATTTATATTGGAATAGTTTTTTGTGATAAAAATGTTAAGTTTAGGTATAAGGTGGGAAACGTGTAGGAAACTACAGATACTTTGTACGTCGCCTTGCCTTACATCTCGATTACAGTCAACAGTAGCAACATCGACCAAAGCAAGCTATGCACGCGATAACACCGAGTATACTGATGAGCCAATTTATCCCGAAATACAGGATTTATCATTTAAAGCATGCAAAGGGCGTGAAACTGAAAGTTGGCATGAAGAAATACGCAAAGTACCAACCGTGGAAGAGAAGCTAATCAAAATTAACATGCCTCGTTATTATGGATTCAAAGTTGTAAATTTGAGTGACTCGAAAGTGCCTTACAACTGTTTGCCTGCCATGCAGCACTACACTCGCACCATTTACGAGGATATTAAGATTAAAGATCCTTTACAAGGAACCGCTCAAACCGATGATCAAAAATTAGATGTATATACTGAATTAATTAAATCTGATATCAAAGAAGCAATTGAATTTGTACACGATTATTTTAGGTAAGTTGTGTAATAACATCGTATTTTTTTTTTAAATAAGTACATTTTTTCTAGTAATGCATATCCAGATGCAGCGAATATGGAACCACAGGAAAAGGAAAACATATTCGGCCGACTTATTGTTGAACAAGTAAACCGAACACTAATTAATGTATTGTCAAGTGATTTTCTTCATCTCCAAGAATCAGAAATTGATTACAGTCCAAGACACGAAGCTTTTTGGTCAGTGGGTGGAATAAATCCTCCAAAAAACGTTGTGAAGAGTAAAACTGGTCGTAAATGGCAGAAGGAAATGGCAAACGATCCTTACAACCGCCTCATGCAATATTCAGGAAAGCCTTTTCTTGCAATACGCCATCGAAACCAACTAACTCCATGGAAAAACGAGTCGGAATCAACAAATATCGAATTAGCGAAAACTTTACCACGTTTTAACTATGATCCACGTACCCTAGGATATGTCTGTAGTCATCAACACCTAACAAGTATTCCAGGTAGAACAAAAACTATCAGTTTTTTTTGGATAAATAAAAAAATTTGTTTTATGTTAAGGGTTCTGGCCTGGCAGCGCAAATCTATTTGGGAGCATTTCTTATCAGTCTCGAGCTTTTCTGCAAATAAGACCAGATACATACGGAGTTGAAGATTTCAAAGAGGCTTTACACTCTCATGCAATTCAAAGTAGTTATTCTTGGTTATTAGGACAAGCTGGTTACAACGGATTTAATACCTTTAATGATCTTACCTATCCAATGAATACACAAACCGTTGTAACAAATGGACGTGATTGGTCATTTTACGAATACCAGTTAAACACGTTACTTGTACACTCACATCATGTAGATGATAATCCGAAAGTTAATTTTTGCCAAGGAACTGCTGAGATGAGGCTATTTGGTGAAATAAATAGTTCTGGTGAAGTTGTGGATTTTAACGAGGATGTCTTGCGATATCTTATACGCTTTTATATAAATGCACCGCAGATCCATAGATCTGCAAGAGAACTACATCCCTATTTGGGATCAGATGTTAAGTATATAGCTGATTATGAAAATGCGGAGAAGCGCGAATTTTTAGAACGTGTTTTTAAAAATTTAATGTCCAATCGACCTCGACATTTAGCTATCCCTGAAATCTATCTTTGGGAAAAGATTTATAAAATTGATAACAAAACGAGAGTCATGGAGCCAAAACGTCGCTTCTTTGAGTTAGGCATAAATCCATGGTTGCGAAAATTGGATCAACATCAAAAGGAGTACATACCAAGAGCATTGCGACCAGAAGGCCCCAAGAGTAAAAAGAAGTGGAAGGAGAGTTTTTATCCATGAATTGTAAATTAATTGTATACGAAATCATTGTTATAAACTTTCCGAACTCAACAAAGTTTGCTTTTAAGCCGTCTATCGATTATACTATGTTCCATGCTATAAATATATTCTTACTTTTATCGGTAAGTATAATTGTATTAATCGAATAAAAGGTACGAACATTAGTTCACAATCGTTGTATTCAGACCTCACTCCCCATAATACAATCATATATCTACATTCGTAATTCACCTAACGTAGTTTCCGGATGACGAGCACGCCTGCTGTTGCTCGCTTCATTTCAGATGAAAGAATCGCGGGAATCCGACGCTCACGCCAGGCTCATCCCTATGGTGTTTACAGATTTGGCACAACAGCCGGTTCTGCGATACCGGATCACGATGTGTTACCCGACGGCTGCGCAAAATGCCAAAAGACTGCGCACCACTTACCTTCACCGATGGGGAGGTTCAGAGTGTCATCAAAAAGGCGAAATCGTCTAAATCGATCGGCCCTGACGGAATAAGCATGCTGATGTTAAAACATCTAGGCCCAACGGGAGTAAACTACCTCACCAAGGTCCTCAACCTGTCGATATCCACTCTTCAAATACCCGATGTGTGGAAAGTCGGAAGAGTGGTCCCACTGCTGAAACCGGGGAAACCCGCCAACAAAGGGGAGTCTTATCGCCCGATAACTCTCCTTTCCCCAGTAGTGAAGACACTTGAGGCCTTGTTACTCCCGTCATTCACCCACCACCTAAGCCTAGCAGACCATCAGCATGGCTTCCGTAAAGTGCACAGTACCACCACAGCATTTAGCGTCATAAACGCCCAGATAGTTCATGGCCTGAACCAGAAGCCACCCTGCGAGAGGACGATCCTCGTAGCGTTGGACTTGTCAAAAGCATTTGACACAGTCAATCACGCAACGCTACTTGAGGACCTGGAACCGTCAACGCTCCCTCCAGGGCTGAAGCGGTGGACCATGAAACTCCAAACTCAGGAAAATTAAACAGGGGGTTCCGCAGGGCGGTGTCCTCTCCCCGCTACTGTTTAATTTCTATATTTCAAAACTCCCCCAGCCACAGCGGGAATTTCAATGACCTCGTACGCAGATGACTGTACGATATTGACGTCGGGCAATGGAATCGATGGCATGTGTTCAAAAGTAAACGGCTACCTCTCCGATCTTTCTCGCTTCTTTTCTGCAAGGAACCTAACACTCTCCCCCACTAAATCCACAGCGACCATCTTCACCAATTGGACGAAGGAGTACAGACTTTACCTGAACATTTCAGTCGATGGCACAAAAATTCCGACAGTAAATAACCCTAAAATTTTAGGCGTCACTTTGGACAGTCTGTGCTCTTTCACTCCTCATACGACCGCGATAACTGCCAAAGTACAGAGCCGCAACAAAATCCTCAAGTCGCTTGCCGGCAGCTCATGGGGAAAAGACAAAGAAACGTTGTTGGCAACATACAAGGCAATCGGCCGGCCGGTCCTCAATTATGCAGCCGCAATATGGTCGCCTGGATGCAGTGACACGCAAAATAAGAAGCTTCAGACACAGCACAACACAGCACGCACGATAACGGGATGCCTCTTGACTTCTCCAATCGAACACCTACATAGCGAGGCCCGTATGCTTCCGGTTAAGGAACATAACGAGCTCCTCTCCAAGCAGTTTCTGCTGGGATGTTTTCGCAGAAACCACCCCTGCAGTCGCCTGCTTGTAGCGGAGCCGCCTCCTAGGAACATCAAGAGGTCCTTCCTTGACTACGTCGACGACATTAGACAGTACGCCGACCAGACTTCGGACGCAACTAACTTCAGACAGGCACTGACCGCCATTCACAGTGGAGCCATTTAACACCTTCACCGACTCCCTCTCAGTGAATGGCGTAATACGAGTCAAACCACCACCCATTGCAGACACAGAGCTCGAGTTGCCTCGCGAATCTAGAGTGACCTCCGCAACTTCGTTCTGATATTGTAGCAGGTAAACTCCTACCTATCCAGAATAGACCCTGACATACCAAACACATGTCCTGCATGCAATGAGTCTCCGCATGACACTAACCACCTCTTTGCATGCCCAACAAACCCCACTCATCTAACACCCCTCTCTCTATGGTCCGACCCCGTCGAAACAGCTCGTTTCCTGGGCCTTCCGTTAGATGACCTCGACGACAACAAATCTAGAATTTATCACCCAAACGGGGATTAGATAATCGTTACAACAACAACAACCAATTGGGCCGTCTAAAGGAAGTAATAATCCAGCCACCTTAGACAAATAGCGGAGGAATTGTGTTCCTTCGAGACAACTCCAGGCCATACACATTGATAATAACTCCAGAACGACCAGAAGCAACGAGAGCTTGGTTGATACGGATGAAAAGGGTATTATGAAATTAGCTTAAAAAGGCAACGGGTCATTCTAACTATGCTAAATAAAACCTTTAATTTATTGCATTAACAATTTCTCTGTTTAGTTATTAATAATATAAAAAACGTTATCATTCATATAAATGTACATATGTTTGTATGTAAGTATATACTTATCCATACGTGTATTATGTGATATAGCATGGATATTATATGTATAATGTTTTTAGTGCGAAGTACGCTGTTTACATTTCTTTATATAATCATCTGAAAGGAAAGAGAGATCTGTTTTGCCTGCATGGACTTTGAATTTAATACATCTTGTGGAGGAGTCAAACTCGTAGACTGTATATGGACAATCTACTTGCGCCATTGTTTTCTCTACCAATTTAAGTACGGAGTGTAGAAAACGTATACAAACGTGCGGTTTCCATTTACGATTCTAAAATGTTAACAATATATAGATAATTTGAAAACAGAATATTACAATTAATATTTTTACTTTTGCTATCTGCTCAGCTCGCGTGACTTGTACTGGAGTGCACACAATGCCGTTCTGATCTCTCAGGCCAATGCAAATATCGCTTGTCTTAGCTAAATACGCCTGTAGCCACCAGAGCAAACACTTTGGATGATCTAAAATATCTCCCTTCCAATCATTTTTATTCAATTGCTTAGTCATTATGAATCGCAATCTATTAATTTCTTCCGTGTTAGGACTAAAAAGGTTTAAGTACATCATTAGCGACAAATGTATTATTATATAAATATACATATCAATAATTAATAAAATTTTTATCAAAAGTGTTTTTCTATAAGCCACTTTAATGTGTTTTGGTTAGTGTTGCGAATTTGTTTATTCATATTTTTGGTTTTGGACAATTTAATTTTTATACAAGTACAAATTTCCATCAGTTTAGATTCTAAATTTAACAATATTGAAATAGAACTTACGTGTTTTCAACCTTGCTATCAGACATAATACCAGCGATCTCTGCTGAATAGATTAGATCAAATTCTTTCATTGAGGTTTTAATGATACAAGAAATTGGGTTATTGTCATCAACAGGTTTATCGATTTCAGGTTCCGAATTTGGGCTATCTAAATTTCATAAAATTAAAAGCTTAAATTATTTAGAGTCTTCCATGTAAATATTATATATAGCATATATGTATGTGTGTTGTACATGTAAGTACTCTGTTAGTTATAACTACAGTTGTTGTTGGATCGGTTATCTAATCCCAGCTGGGGGGTAGGGTTCAAATTGGTTGTCATGGAAGTCATCTAACGGCAGGTCCAAGAAACGTGTTGACAAAGTCGGACCATAGAGAGGTTAAATCAGTGGGATTCATTTCGTATGCAAAGAGGTTGTTTGAGTCATGCAGAAATGCATTGCACACCGGACATATATATATAGGTATATTTGGTATGTCGAGAACAATTGTAGATAAGTAGGAGTTTAACCTGCTACAATATCCAGAACGAAGTTGCGCAAGGACGAATCTAGATTCTCCCGGCAACTGAAGCTCTTCGTCTGCTACGGGTGGTGGTTTAACTCCAAGTACACCATTCCCTGCGAGGGAGTCGGTGAAGGTGTTAACGGCTCCACTGTGAATGGCGGTCAGTGCGTGTCTAAAGTTATTGCGTCCGTAGTTCGGTCGGCGTATTGTTCAATATCCTCGACGTAAGCAAAGAATGACCACTTGATGCTCCTAGGAGGGGGTTCCGCTCCAAGGAGACGACTACACAAACTGCTTGGAGAGGAGTGCATTGTGTTCCTTAACTAGAAGCATGCAAGCCTCCCTATGTAGGTGTTTTTCAGGGCTCATCAGGAGACGTCCTGTAATCGTACGGAATGCAGTGCTGTGATTAGATATAAAGGAATCCTAGGTGTAAGGTTATTTGCAAATTCTACTGCCAAATGACTTCAATGATTTTTGTTCATATGAAATCATACGAGCAAGTAATCAGGATACTCACCAGAAAAGCATAACTGCATAAATTTTTGATGATATGTATGATATGCATCCCTTTGTTCAAAATTAGTTATCGTATATTTTTCTTGCATGTGAAATGCGCCACAATATTTTGTAACAAGAAACGTCGTATTACGCGGTCCATTTAGACGATATGGTATAATCATAATGTCTGTCAAGACTCCACGTTGACATAAAATCACTCTGCGTTTAGAATCATATTGTGTCTGCCGAGATCCGGATGGTGTATGTGCATCCGGCTGCAGAATGTTTTCATCGTTTTCTATAACGTATTTTTCTACTTTATTAAGCCCAAATTTATTCATCTGCCTGAAAATGAACTGATCGAATCCTTCATTTAAATCCAGTGGATATGATGTTGGCTTTTTAAAATACAAAAGATGCACGTCATTGTTAATGCTATTAAGGCCCCGGCAAGAGTAAATAGTAAGGATTTGTGGGCGGGCCAGGTAAAATGCTGGCTGCTTATCATCGGTAATTTCACTTGGCCGTAATTTCATCAGCACTTTAAAGTCATCGCTTGAATTATTGATAGGCATTGTTTTTCTTTCTTTTATATAAAGTTTATTCCCAATAAAATGAACTTGAATTCATTCACCACGAACTTTTGTCGAAAGGGACAAGTGATAATAACATTGTAAATCTAGGTTATACAAGAGAATATATATAATAAGCACCAAAAAGCACAGTTCAACGTCGTCTACATCAAAGAACTTCTTTCACTATGTTTTCTGGTTCAACAGGCTGATATTCAATAACAATGACTGATAACTAAGTGAATGAGTAAGATGTACATGCAGAGAACGTAAAATACAGAGAAGGTCCAACTACGGACCAGCGTGTGAATCAGAGATAAGTGTGAATTGTCAAAACCTAACAAAATGCGATGAGCGTGTTTCACCACAGTCGGCTCGGAAGGAGAAATTTTAACAGTGGCGCGTGAACAGAGCTGAGCATTGAATAAAAATTATGCTCAAGACTTGCATTGATTTTACAGCCACATGTTACTCTTTTGGTTTATATTTTTATACGCTTATATACAATCATATTTATTGATATGAATATCATTTTGCGAATTTTTATGAAAACATGCAAAACTGATAACATTCTAATTTAATAATGAATTTTTCAAAATAATATTTATAGTCAATTTGGGCATTTAATAATTTTATTTAGTTATTACATAATATACATTCTTAATAAATATTTTGTATTATAATTGTTACTAATAGTGATTAAATTTATTACAACATATACATACATCTTTTATCAAATTAATCTTATATAGTCATATGTATGTATATCTGCACATGCACATTTTAATGTACGGATTCAGAAATGCAAATCATAATTTTATCACTTATCAATAAATTATACAACAAATAATGCATACACAAACAAACATACATACATATGAATATCCGTACACATGTAAATATGTCACCCGCAAAAACTAAAAACATTGTTCTACAAAAACAACAATGGTCACAAGTCAATATGTCAGCCAAATAGGCGAAGCCCAAATTTATAGTAAATCACACAACAACAACATTTCCATTCATAAACGCAGGCGTACTTTCAACAAGCAACCTCGCTTCATTCATAAAAACAGACACCCTCTCATCTCCCCGAGCATGCGTTTGCCAACAAGCTTCTTTTCGCGACGATGGCAAAAGCTAAAAATCATAAATTTTTGGAATTCATTGACTAAAAAGAAATTTATTGCGGTTTAATTTTGTAGCATGATTCGTTAGCCACCCTGTATAGGCAGAATATCTTCAAATTATATGCAAAGTCGTTTGCGCATTGTAAATATACGAATCTGTAAGCGTACATTTCTTAACATTGAAATTAGCATTATTTTTCTCAATTAACATTGAAAATGCTCAATTCTGCTATTTTTCAGTACCCTGATGTTAATTGTGGACATTTGGTGAAACACGCTCATCTTTTTCAGTTCCCCTGCGAAGCATGAAATATTTTGCTAATGGCCGCACTGTGAACCTTCTCTATGATATACGTTCTCTGTTTATATCACATTATCGACTGAATAAAGACGCAATATGACATTTTGTGTTTTATTCTTATGTTTTCTCTTATAGAAATCATCATAAACTAAATCGTAACAATAATATAAATTAGTTTCTTAACTTACACTCCAAGTCCGTTAACGGCTATCCTCTTGTTTTGTTTCTGATAACAAAACCGATAAATTGGTTTCCGCGACACCCAAAACCGATACAATTTCTGCTTCGAACGTCAAATCAATATATCTGAATTCATGACACCTACTACAGTTTTTGATCGGTTTCAATTCTGATTTCGACAACTAACGTATTTTACAACACGCCTGAATAAAGTGAACGTATATATCTTTTGTTTGTGGAAAAATATACACATTTAATTTTTTTCTCACACTACACACCGAAATGTATATAAGTACATATGTCGGCTAGTGAGCGAAAACAACCACATATGCATTGCTACAATGTTTTTATGGCTGGAAGTATTCTCTTCAAAAATTCGCAATCCAGGTCACATGACAGTATATACGAGTACTTTCCTTCGTTATCAACTATTGAAACTTTTTATTGAACATGACGTATATAAGTATTTTTGAAGGCTTGAAGCTACATACAATAAATTGTTTATGAAGAGGCATTTAATAATATAAGGCATGTCAATATCTCCCTTCCGCTTTTTTGTCCTTTGAATTTCGCGGCTATGTACAAAGCGCTACAGAGCTCGTATCTGGCAACACTATACATAATTTGAAAGGTCTTGACATAACCTACAAAACAACGCTATGCATGATTAGTTTGGATATTGCGTTCAACAGTTATAGACGTGTAAACATGGAGTTCACTAACGCCGAAATTCGCGCTATTTTAAAGTTTTCCTTCGTTAAAGGCAAATCCGCTAGAGAAACGTTCCGTGAGATTAATGGTGTTTTGGGGGATGGTACTCTATCACTTCGAACC